CGTGGTGATCGCTGCTGCAGCGACGGGTCGGAACCCCCGGCCCACCTTTCAGCGACGAGGCAGCCCATGCCCGCAGTGGGCAGCATGTGGTTTTATTGGGTTGACATGCCCTGGACAGCGTCTTCTCTGGCCTCTCGGTCCGAAGGGTTTATTTTTACGTAATGACCAAGGTCTTGTTTAGAAACCACTGCTTGACCCTCCCGTTGCGGAAGGCACTCTGCCCGGGCGCGGTTTTGGTGGGCTTCATGTCCAGGAGCGATGCAAGGGTTAGCGGCTCCCAATCCTCCTTCCCGGTCGGCATGGCCCTTTCCGACTTCTTGGAGACTGCAACAAAACACAGGGTACCTTGTGAGTGTGGCTCTCCCGAGGGTCCAGAAGGACACTGGACATGAGGCATGACATCGACCCACTGGGAGGGAGAGTCAAGTGGTCTTTACTCTTAGTAAGAGCACGGACTACCGTTCCCGACCTTGTTTGTAGCTCTGGATTCCTTCCCTTCCTCAAAACCCAGTTTAAAGCACTGCCCGTTTAGGGTCTTCCCCGTTTAGCCTCGCCCCTCTCAAATGATTCCATCCACAACCACATTGATATTCGTGTAATTCTTATAAGGTACAGTCACTTTTATATTCTTATACCTCTTAGCCTTTTCCCGAAGTGTGTTGGTTTTGAGTCTCAACTGTCTATTGAGTGCTCTGAAATTCTTCAATGGGTCCCAGCTGCCTAGTGGAGAAAACCCAAGCCCTTCATATAACCCAGGCCCTTCATAACGGCCCCATAAACGTTCTTAAATGAATGATCATTTGTAAGGAGCATTCTCATTATACCTTCCTCCATTCCATGTCCCCCACCCCCATGTCCTGCCTCATTGGGAAGACACTCCTGGACCTCTGAGACTGACAGACTGACTTATCCTTTGGCCCTTCTAGAACAGTTTTTCTCACGTGTGATATGCATACTGCTGGGTAGTTTTAGGTGATACATAAACATTTAAAATTTTAATTATGAATTTGATTAAATGTCAGGGGGGAAAAACCTATGTAATTAGTATATCAAACCCATGTTAATGATATGGTATTAATTAGGACAAGAAAAAAATCATTAAATAAATAATAGGGCAAATAACTTATATACCAGAACTTTTAAAGCAGTAGGTGAGGCAGTTTGGGAAGCACTGTGCTATGGCATCTTGAAATTTGAAGATTTAAGCAGAATTCAAAACTTAGCACCCCTTGAGCCTCTATCAGTTCTTAGCTTCTGTGCTACAACGAAAAATAGTCTCCACAACCTCCATGAGAGATGGCGATTTGCCCTTAAATCTCACCTTCATACGTTGCCCCTCCTGCCCACATCTCAGTCCTGTAGGCCACTGCTTTGAAAGAGAGGTGCTTACCATCTTTCTTATCTCTTCCATCGACTTGAGCAAAGGTGAGCTGAGGGAACATATTTTTCTGCTCCCTCAAAGTGCAGACGGTTGAATACTTCCCTTCACTCTTGAAATCATTCTTGGTGGAAAACCTTAACAAAGAAAGCTCATTTAGTAAATCCCAGGGTTGGGTGTTAGTGGAACCAGTCACTACGCTCGCAGATTCAGGGGAGGAGAGAAGGCGACCACAGGTGTTCCTTGGTACGGAGTGGGACTACTGTTCATGAAAGGGAGGCTTCTAGAACCTAGCCTGTAAACCTTCTAAGGAAGCTCAGAATCTCCTCTCTCCTCTCCAAACGGGATATAGGCTGCTCGTAGAATTAGTTTCAAATAAAATCTCATAGCACAGTGTTCCTATGCTATAGCCCTTATCATGCACTGAGGGGGGTGGGGGCGGATTTTTTCCTTTTCCTCAAATCATAGACCTTTGGCTATTTTTTTCTTCACTCTTGAAAATCCTTCTTAGTGAAAAACCTTAGCTCTGAAGGAGTTTCTCTTAGGGTGTAAAAGATACTGGGGATTGCGTGTTATTAACATACAGTTGTACCTTTCTATACCCTAACAAGCAAAAAGTATTAAATCGTATTGAAAAGACATGGTAACATGAATAAGGAAGTGATGGGAAAGAAAAAGAGAACAAGAGCAGCCAGGACTTCACCTAAACAGTTCTTGTTTGGATTTTGCATCCTTCAACAGCGTCACAGGGAAGACTGGCTTCAGCTTAGGTATTAACCTTTTTTTCTGAGGCAACGGGTGTACGTAGGTCTCACTGGGTTTGTGCTGATAAATTTCCTGCAGCAGAAGAAAGAAGAGAGAGTAAGGGAGTCAACCAAGGACCGCGGGACTTAAAGTTCTGGGACTAAGTTCCAGTCCCCCAACACAATCCGACCAAACATGTCGGAGGGAAGAAGGCACTCAGAAACTAAAAAAAGAAGAAGCAGTTCCCAGTGGGCTAATGCATGTTTATTTCCTTGCCAGATGACTTGTCCAACGCTTTGCCAGTTTCCTTAGTACTTGATTGAACTTGCCCCCTGGCCCTTTGAAGAGAGCGGTGGAAGAATTTACCCGGTTTTGAGAAGGATTCAATTAGTGAATTGCTTAGTAAATCAAGCATTTGATAATAAGTTGGGGGAAAAATTCATAGGACTCTACCTTTCTTTCTCAGAAATGGCTACCTCATTCACATTCTCTTCTCTGAAGTGAAGAGGCCACCAAATGCAATGTTTTGTGATGTAATAATGTCATCATTCTCAAAGGTCACAGAGTCAAAGACTTTCAGAAAGGATAGTAAAAGTCATCTAGTCTAACCATTTATCTGACACTCATTTCACCTACACACTATCAAGTGGTCAATCTTCCTATACCTAAAACACCAACCTAGCCTGCTAGTTATGGCTCAATGGTTGAGCATCAACCTATGAACCTGGAGGTCATGGTTTGATTCCTGGTCAGGGCACATGCCTGGATTGTGGGCTTGATCCCCAGTAGGGGCATGCAGGAGGCAGCTGATCAATGAGTCTTTCTAATCATTGATGTTTATATCACTCTCCCCCTCTTCCTTCCTCTCTGAAATCAATAAAAATATATTTTTCAAAAACCCAACCTATTTCATCTTTGATTAGCTGATAGCTGTAACTTCTAACTTATAGTCCTAATAGAACTAATGCAGTGTCTCTTCCACAGAGTTCTTAAAGAATTTGAAAAAATCCATCAAGTTTCTCCTAAGCTATCTCGCTATCTCATCCAGGCTCAACATTGCCAATATTTTGAAATTTTCTTTATATGACATGGCTTGGGGTTCCTACTCTCCTGATTTATCTCATTATAATTCATTTGAGAAAGTTACAATTAATATTCTTCCCAATGTGCAGCAATCTGAAATGAAAACAATATGTGAGATGTCACACTTGCAGGACACGTCCCGTCACCCCAATAAAGTGTAAGATGTCATCAACTCTTCTAAGAGCCTACTATTCAAATTACTATCTAAACTACACTATCTAAAACCACCACTCACACCCATCCTGCTCAATTCCTTTATCCTGCTTTGTCTTGGCATTTATCACATGCTTACATTAACTGTATGATTGCTTATGATCTGTGTGTCTACCTCACTAGAATTAAACTTCATTTGGGTGAACTTTACTTTAGTCACTGATATATTCTTATTACCCATAACAGTGCTTGGCACATAGTAGATGTTCAACAAATATTTGTTGAATGAATGAAAAAAATGAATGAATGACCAAACTACTTAATTGATATATATTGAGCTTTTTCTTTCAGAATTTTAAAACCTCTTTAAAAAAAAAAAAAACTTGCTGCTGAACATGGCCTTTTAATTCTGTACTCATCCTATATAATAAAAGGCTAATACACAAATTGTCCTCTTGACCAGGAGTTCTATGGGGAGTTCAATCGCTTGCTATGATATGCTCTGACCACCAGGGGGCAGCGAGGAACATAGCGGGTGTTGGCAATGTGGCGCTGGCAGTAGGCGGCAGTGGAGGTGCTACCGGCCCTGATGGGCCCTGATGAGAGCGGGACTGCGGCAGGATGGTGGAGCAGGTGATCAAGCAGCGCCAGGCCAAGGTGGGTGTGAGCGGGGCCTGATCGCCCTGCTAGTCGACCTGTAGACAGTGAACAACGGTGGTGGGGCGGGGGCTGGGCCACCACCTGGCTTCCAGGCACTGAGGGAGCTGGGCAGGGGCCTGATCGCCCCACTGATCCCCTCACAGACAGCGATCAGCCGCAGCAGGGGACGGGGCTGCCACCTATCTCCCAGGCACTGAGAGAGCCGGGCAGGGGCCTGATGACTCAGGCGGAGGGGAGCACGCAGGGGCCGAGATGCTGCCCAGGGCCCAGAGGTCAGCTGGGACCTGCCCTTCCACACCAGACACTCATGCTTTGATTGCCGGCCAGGCCTAGGGACCACATCCATGCACAAATTTCATGCACCAGGCCTCTCGTTCTCAAATACCATCTTTTGAGGAACAGGCATCCATCCATCCAAGTTACCTCACTTAATAGGAGTTTTATTGTAAGAGCACATGTGCCTAGGAAGTAAGACATAGCTAATAATTTGGCCACAAAAAGAGCAGAACCTGAACAGAGTTAGTTCTCATAGCAGAAAAACAGGAATTAAGAAGTTATTTTGAATCCAAGATAGCACTAGTTATGTAACACCACTGCATTGAGTTTATGTATCTTGATTCTACATCATATTATTAATGTCTTTCCTACTTCTTCCTGCCTGCTTCCTCCTCTCTGTTCACTCCTTACCCTTATACCTTTATACCTTTTTTCTATCTATAGCTTCTACATATATATAATAAGCCTAATACGCAAATTGTCCCCTTGGGAGTTCAACCGGATGACCGGGAGTTCGATCACTCACTATGACATGTGCTGACCACCAGGGGGCGGCACGGAATGAAGGAAGGCCCCAGCCAGCAGCTGGAAGGCCCCAATCAGCCCTGATCTCTGACCAGGCCTAGGGACCCTACCCATGCACAAATTTTGTGCACCAGGCCTCTAGTTCATTTATATTCCCCTATCATTTCAACCTGCCCCTTTTCTATTCTTATTGTCTCTATACTATCAGAGAGAGAGAGAGAGAGAGAGAGAGAGAGAGAGAGAGAGAAACATCAATGATGACAGAGTATCATTGACTGGTTGCTTCCTGCATGTTCCCCACTGAGGATTGAGCCCACAACTTGGGTATGTGCCCTGACTGGGAATGGAATCGAACTGTGATCTCCTGGTTCATAGACTATCTTCTTTATGGCTTCTCTATGTCCTTTCAGCTTCCATTCCCACTGCCTCAATATTTTCCTTTTCTAGTTCAGATACTGTAAACAAGAATCTGAATAACAGGGATTTGGGTTGTTGGTAAGTTGGTTAGTTTCATTTTTGGTTGATTTTTTTTTGGTAGAGACCACCACAGGTCACTATTATGAATTTTAATTTCCTGCGTCTGGTGTGCTTTTCTGGTCCTAGCTAGGAGTAGAGGACCAAGTCTAGTTACACAAAATAAGACCTCGTAGGGCAATGGTTCTCAACCTTGGCTGCACATTAGAATCACCTGGGAATCTTTTTAAATTCCTGATTTCTGGGCCTCATCCTCCGGAAATTCTGTTTCTTTGTTATGGGGTGGGGCCACAACAAAGGTGGTGGGTTTGATTCCTTGTAATTTAAAAATAAATAAATAAATAAATAAAATTTTTAAAAAGAGCAAGAGACACCATAGGCAAGATATTAGTTAATTAACTCCTTTGTCAGCATATAACTTTGGATACTAGTATTTTATCTTCTATTTGAAAAGAAATCTCTCACTGCCATTCATGTAGCAACTAAGGAAATACTAATTCCACATTCACTGCACTCTATTATAAGAATACTAATTCCACCCCCAGCTTCAAATTTAAGTATATTCTTTTATTTGTACTTTCATTTATTTCATTTAATTTCTTCTTGTTCTATTAGGCCCTTTCTCAAGACTATCAAGATTTGTTTTTATTAATTGACTTTAGAGAAAGAAAGACATTGATTTGTAGTTCCACTTATTTATGCATTCATTGGTTGCTTCTTGTATGTGCCCTGACATGGGACCGAACCCACAACCTTGGTATATTGGGACACTCTAACCAACTGAGCTACCTAGCCAGGGCTATCAAGATCTTTTTTAGATCCTGATTCCTTAACCTAATTTTCTTCACTTCTGCTGTTGATGTAGTTCAATTCCTCTGCATCTCTTACCTTGATGATTGTAGTAACATCATAACTAATTTTTCTGATTTTTATCTCTTTCTCCCAACCTCAAAAAAAAGGATATTTGATTATATCCTTTTATCTTCTGCCATTTACTCTCTTACAACTCCCTAAATGTGCCTCGCTTGCTCATGTCTCCATGGCTTTGCCCTTCCCTCTGATTGGAATATTCTCCTGTTCTTTGTCAGGGGTCATCTCTTCTGTAAAGCCTCTCTGATTACTCCTTTTCTCTCAGCAGAACTACTGTGAGCTCTGTAGCCTGTATATTCTCTTATGATTCATATATCTTGGTATATTATAATGACTCATTTACTGATCTGTCTCTCCTGTGAGACTCCAAGTTCCTTCAAGATAGAAACTGCCCTATACTAGTAATCATCTTTATATTTTAGTTCTTAGATTAGTGTATGTTCACTGATTGGCTACCAGATTGGATTTGAACTTTTTTAGTATGTAAGAGAGTCCCAAATGTCCGGATACTGTTATAGTGAATTCCCTGCTCTGTTCCTCTTCCCTTCTGACACCTACAAGCAACAGGTAGAAAGTATAACCCTTTACTCCTTTCCCATTTAGGTATTCATTCCTGTTCCTTAGTCTTCATTTTTCAGTTTATCCTTTGCTATTTTATATTCAACTTGAAAGCCGATGGCTAATTTACACTTTGTTAACAACAAACTATCTTTGGCAAAGGAGAAACAATCTCAAATTAAGACTCTCCTTTCTCTGTGCAATGAAGTTTCATGACCCAAACTTGTCCAGCTCTTTCTCTCAGTATTTCCAGGCGCTACAGATTCTGTTTGGTGAAGCACAGGGCAAAGAATTAGAGGGAAGAGGTTGGCTCCTGAATACCATGTGACGTTAGCTTCCTTCTTCAAGCTAATGCCTCATTCTCCAGGGCCCTTACTTAGGGTGCCAGGAAACTTCTGCAGGTGCCATTACCTTGAGCAGTACCTCCTTGGAAAAGTAATGTGGCTCGGTGTCCTTTCCTTGTTGCTCTATTGAGGGAAGTGGGTTGTTGGTCATTATAAGTATGGTCTTATCTTGGTCATACTCTGCGACTTTGAGCATGAAGCTTAACATTTTCCTGTTTCGAGTCACACATTTCTGCAGTGCGGTGGGCTTCAAAGGCTCATAGTACCGGCTCTGAGCAGACGGACAGAAAGGTTTCCAGAGAGACAAAGGGATTAGATCAAGAGAAGGTTAATAAATCCATTGGCTAATCTTCTGCCTCTGTAGGGTAGGGACAGAGGCTGGACAGGGGCTGGACAAATCTGCTTTGAAATAAGTTTATCAGAAAATGTCTGGCGCTCACTGGCCCTTTCTGCCCTCAGAGTACTCCCCACACATTGCCGGAGGGGCTGCGGAAATGACATGGAAAGCTTTCCACAATCAAGAAAGGGGACTTAATTCTTCTGAAAGGGTGTAACAGAATCTGTTCAATACAATGGGGCAGAGAGGTTTCTCCGTGAGATCTCGCTGGTCTTCTCTAGCTCTCTGAGAGGCAGAGGCTAGAAACTGCCAGGGACCAAATCTCCTAGTCAAGGAGTTTGGAGGGTGGGGGCGACACCAACATTCTCACTCATGAACGTTTTCCCACAGGCACAACCGCATTACCATGCATAATAAGCACAACGTTTTAAAAGGAAAAGCAGTCACAAAAGACAGCAAGTCACTGAAGATGTGGGTGGGGGCAGAGGCAGTTCCACTAAATTTGCTTTTCTGTCAACAGGGGGACAGGGAGGAAGGGAGAGGGAAAGAATGAAACACCTTCTGATTATTAATAACTTAAAAAGACTATTTCAGCTACAGGGACCGCCTTCTTCCCAGTACCTTCTCCCTCCCTCGCCGTGGCCTTTCTCTGCACTGCCTCTAGCCAGTGTCCCAGGGCAGCTCTGCCTCCCTGACCCCGCAGCCTGTGCAGTCACAGAGGTGGCAGCACTTAAAGGCCTATGGATATTCTGTCTCCAGCTTGAACCCCACTGCTGGGACTTGCTCTTAGGGATCTCGGGGCGGATTGGGGCGTGGGGGGAAGAGGGGGTAGGCACAGGGGAAAGCTTTTCCACCTACCAATTTTGGATGGACCGTGTAATACCGAAGGTTCTCTGGAACAAATTTTGATTGCCCGGCTGCATAAGAAACCTAGAGACAGTAATAGAAATTAGTGGTTTCTAGCGGCAGGATCCTAAACAATATCCCATTCCTGACTCTCACTAAAAGGTGGCGGCAGCTTCAAACGAACGAAAGGGAACAACACTGTGCTTCATGGTTTGCACCCCGGGTTTCTGGAATGAGAGCCACAGCGTGGAGAGCTGCGTTCTGAGACCGCCTGACCGGGAAGCTTGTCCATGGACATGGGGACCAACTTTATGAAAGGGCAGGTCACGCTGTTAGGAGGTGAAGTAGACAAAGGCAGCATTAAAGGGCAGACCGGGACCAGACACTGCACGGGATCACACCTCCTTCTTCTGCCTTTTCATTTCTTTGGCAGTGAAATCAAGTGAAAATCAACATGTAACTTGCTTTCCACCTCTTTAAGGAGAAAAGGAAGTCACAAAAGGGCGATAGCTTAAGGCAGTGGTTCTCAACCTTCCTAATGCCGCGACCCTTTAATACAGTTCCTCATGGTGTGGTGACCCCCAACCATAAAATTATTTTCGTTGCTACTTCATAACTGTAATTTTGCTACTGTTATGAATCATAATGTAAATATCTGATATGCAGGCTGTATTTTCATTGTTACAAATTGAACATAATTAAAACATAGTGATTAATCACAAGAACAATATGTGTTTCCCGATTATATATGTGTTTTCCGATGGTCTTAGGCGACCCCTGTGAAAGGGTCGTTCGACCCCCAAAGGGGTCTCGACCCACAGGTTGAGAACCGCTGGCTTAAAGGCTGTGAATGAAAGGAGCCCTGGGGATTGCTGCCAACTGAGCTGGGAGCCGACAGGCTCACAGAGGAAGGGAGAAACAACATTTTGCATTTCTGAATGTTTCTGTGGCACGTAATTCTCCCCAAAATGTTACCAAAAATAACTGAATGTTCGGTAAGACTTCTGTCTGCCACTTAGTATTTTTCGGCTGGTGGTAGTGCTGGTGAGGGGCAGATTGAGTGTCCTGCCTGCTGGTGGCCCAGCCTCAGGCTTAGCCCTAAGTTACCTAAGGATGAGTAAATCAACGGGATGAGAATCCAAAGCAAAAAAAGCTGAGTACCCTCCTGCAGGCTTAGCAAAATCAGAAATCAGAACAAGAGGGAGGAAACATAATCCTGTATTTGGGCCCTAAAGATTGCCACGTCCCCAAGAAGGTGACGTGGTAAGATGGGGTACAGAAGAAAGGGAACACACACTTGAAAGGGCGAATAAAGCAATCAGGTGAACAGAGAAGAGGAAAGTAGTAAGAATGGGGCCGATGTGGGATGAGGACAGGCCATTATTATGCTCCAGAAAGAGAATGTCAGGAGCTGGCAATTGCAGGGAGTTGGGAAGGACAGGGAGGTGGTCTCGCAGAGTCACTCCACACATCGCTTTGGGAGGGTGGGGTGAAACATGGGACAAATACAAAGATGCAATAATTTAATTTTATTACCTTTTGGAAAACTGAAGTCCCTTTGTTCGAAACAAAAGCATATTGTGAAAAACCTGCTTCACAGATATACTATATAAAATACATACTTAGAATAATATAGAAGTCTCAGAAAAATGTATTTCGGGGGAAGATGTAAAGGCTTGTTTTCGGGGGAAGATGTAAAGGTTTTTTAGAACATAAGTTATAGTCCTGGCTGATGTTGCTCAGTGTTTAGAGCATCAACCCACACACTGAAGGATCATGGGTTTGATTCCCAGTCAAGGGCACATACCTGGGTTGCAGGCAACCAATCAATGTCTCTTTCACATCTATGTTTCTCTCTCCTCCTCCCTCTCTCCCTCCCTTCCACTCTCTCTTTCTAAATAAATAAACGGGGGGCGGGGGGGGTAATGAATTATAGTGGGGAAGGTCTCTGAGCAAGATGGTTTAGCCCTGGCTGGGTATCTCAGTTGGTTAGAGCATTGTCTGGATACACCAAAGTCGTGGGTTCAATCCCCAGTCAGGGTATATACAACAATCAACCAATGAATGAATTAATAACTGGGACAACAAATTGAAGTCTCTCTCTCTCTCTCTCTCTCTCTCTCTCTCTCTCTCTCTCTCTCCCCCCTTCCTCTCTCTCTTTCTCTCAAATAAATAAATTTTAAAAAATATGTTTTCACTCCTGAATTTTTCTGAGATAGTGCATCTCTGTTCCAAATTAGTCTCCAGTAGTTCACAAAACCCACAAGAGTGTCCAAATTGGAATATGTTTTAGTTTTATGTTGAATAACAGTATCTCCGGCCAATAAAATAAAAGTTGGCCTGAAAAAGATCACTTAAATAGAATAAACCTGGGGATGCAACCAAACTTTTGCTGCAAGAGGTGGCCATGTGCCCAGCCAGCATGGTTGAGCACCAACCTATGAACCAGGAGGTCATGGTTCAATTTCTGGTCAGGGCACATGCCTGGATTGCAGACTCGATCCCCAGTGTAGGGCATGCAGAGGACAGCCAGTCAGTGATTCCCTCTCATCATTGATGTTTCTATCTCTCCCGCTCCTTTCTTCTCTGAAATCAATACACACTCACACACACACACACAGTGGCCAGATTATTGTGCCCACCCCATCAGTACTTCGTCGGGCCACCTTTTGCCTTCAATGCTGTGGCGATTCTTCTTGGCATTGACTCCACGAGATGTTGAAAGGCGATGCGAGGAATCTGACACCATGCCTGATGAATAGCACTGTCCAGTTCTGTGAGGTTTGATGGTTGTGGAACCAGCTGCCTGATGGCTCTTTTAACTTCGTCCCACAAATGCTCAACTGGATTGAGATCTGGTGATTGTGGGGTGGGGCCCACCTAAGCAAGGTAAAGGCTCCCTCATGTTCTTGAAACAACTCCT